GTTCGGCTGTGATTGGTTCATGCAATAAATCCCGCCTCTTGTGTTCGTGCGCGTTTGCGAATCTGAATGAACAATATAATGGCGTTAATGGGAAGACTAATTTAATAAAGTAAACAACTCACACACTTAGATATAACCACTTTGTTATATCACAATAAGACTTGTGATAATAAGACCTGAAAACGTAATCTGTGGGAGTTTTTAGTGAGTAATCAGCTTGGTGAAATTTAAAGTAAATCTGTGTCTGTGACCAATAGGCTATTCACCGAGCTTTGATGACTGATGAACCGAATAATTAAAAAGTAGTTAAAAGTTAACTATTAAAAAGAATAGCTCAACATAAGTTCACAAATAAAATATATTGTTTAAATTGTTACTGCCTTGAGTTATTATTTAGGAATAAATGTAAAATGCTTAAAAACACTAACTTGATTAGATTACTTCTTGGTTTTAATAAATAGAATATTGTTTACATTGTTAATGTAATAATATAAAATAGATTTTTTTTTTCTGATAGTGCAAGTAATGCTTATTTAACCAAGATAATGCAACTGTGACATGAATTTACATTTGATAAAAAAAAAAAAATTCAGAACACCACCGCACACCACTGATATATACAGTGGGTACGGAAAGTATTCAGACCCCCTTAAATTTTTCACTCTTTGTTATATTGCAGCCATTTGCTAAAATCATTTAAGTTAATTTTTTTTCCTCATTAATGTACACACAGCACCCCATATTGACAGAAAAACACAGAATTGTTGACATTTTTGCAGATTTATTAAAAAAGAAAAACTGAAACACAAATGTATGCTAATTTTTTTTATTCTGTTTAATTCATTTTTTTTAACTGTTTTAATACATTTTCAATTCATTTTTATTTATAAATAATTTTTTATTATTTTATTTCTTTTGCATATGTTGTGGTCATTTTGTGATTATTTTAATTCCTTTTTATGTAAATAACTTTGAATTACCATTGTGTATGAAATGTGCTATATAAATAAGCTTAGCTTGCCTTGTCTAGGTACGTTGAATCGTATAAAAAAAATGGACATTTCACCCTGAGATTCACTCAAATATGCTCTTCATGTTCTGTTATTGGCTACATTGTTGTTTCATAACATTTTTCTTCCAGCTGGTTGTCAGCAAGTGGTACGATAGCACCTAACGGCATGTTTTGTTTCTAGATGCGTCAAAAGGGGTCTGTACGAGGCACGATGGCAGCCGAAGAGTAGCCGAATCCTTTTTAGTAACACAAGGCAGGTGGAGAGACTCTGTAAGTCATGCGGGAGGAGAGGCGGCCGCTCCATCGTGCATTCTTTCTCACGTTCTTTTCATCCGCCGCCACCCACTAACTCATCTCTTCACTGCCTCCATTTCAGCTAACCACAACTAACTTTTCTTCTGGTGTTCTCCTCTCAGCTGACGTGTGGAGAAATGTAACCAGAGTTAAAGTGTTAGTCATTTCAGACAAACTCTTGGCTGTACCACCCTAATGCGTTCGCTCAGGCCAGAGGAAAATAGTGCCTCAATGGCACAAATTGAAAGCAGGTGTTTGCAGTTCCTTGAAAAAGCCTCATCTGCAAGTTCTAATGGTTTTAGACTCCAGTTGAAAGGTAAAAGAGTTTTTTTTTTTAGCTGTTCTTGATGTTTAAAGTAAGTGCGGCGGCCAAGGGTGTTCTCCTCTCAGCTGACGTGTGGAGAAATGTAACCCGAGTTAAAGTGTTAGTCATTTCAGACAAACTCTTGGCTGTACCACCCAAATGCGTTCGCTCAGGCCAGAGGAAAATAGTGCCTCAACGGCACAAATTGAAAGCAGGTGTTTGCAGTTCCTTGAAAAAGCCTCATCTGCAAGTTCTAATGGTTTTAGACTCCAGTTGAAAGGTAAAAGAGTTTTTTTTTTAGGTGTTCTTGATGTTTAAAGTAAGTGTGGTGGCCAATGCCTGTAGCTTCCAAAAGCAGCGTTCTTGTGTCGAGTTGTTGATCTTCTATCTAAATGGAGGCAGGTTGCGATGTTTACAGGAACAGCTGCAATGGCCATCTTTTTCTTTTCCACTGTTCTCGTCCTGAAGGGTTAGTGCATACAAAAATAAAATTGCCATCATGTCGTTCCAAACCCGTATGACTGACTTTCTTCCATGGAGATGTTTTTGAAGAATCTCCACACTTGTTTTTCATACAGTTAAAGCATACAGTGGCCACAGGATATCAAGCTGTGAAATCGCATCATAAAAATAGTTTATATGATTTATGTTCTGTATTTTAAGTCTTCTGAAACCATAAGATAGCTTTGTGTGACCGAAATCTAATTTTTATTTTATTTTATTTTTCATGGTTGAATCAAATTTAATTAAGAGCCGTTTTTTAGAGTTAATAAATATTGTTTGTTAATTAGTTTATTTATTTAGTTATTTAAATTTATATTTGCATATTCAAACATGGAAGTGCAAAGGAGATTTGACAGCCGCTGTGGAAGGAAATTGTAAGTTTTTTCATCACATAAAAGGTATCATTTGACTTTATATGACTTGTAATATTTTGCACAAGTTGTACTACTGTTGGACAATGTATGTTGTTGGACTACTATTATAGAGCTTTTTGAGAGTTTGACAGCCATTATATACTTTCAAACGAGCATCCTGAATGTTCTGCTGAACCTTTCTTTGGTGTAACACAGGAGAAAGAAACTTGTGCACACTTGTTTTTCATACAGTTAAAGCATACAGTGGCCACAGGATATCAAGCTGTGAAATCGCATCATAAAAATAGTTTATATGATTTATGTTCTGTATTTTAAGTCTTCTGAAACCATAAGATAGCTTTGTGTGACCGAAATCTAATTTTTATTTTATTTTATTTTTCATGGTTGAATCAAATTTAATTAAGAGCCGTTTTTTAGAGTTAATAAATATTGTTTGTTAATTTATTTATTTATTTATTTAAATTTATATTTGCATATTCAAACATGGAAGTGCAAAGGAGATTTGACAGCCGCTGTGGAAGGAAATTTTAAGTTTTTTCATCACATAAAAGGTATCATTTGACTTTATATGACTTGTAATATTTTGCACAAGTTGTACTACTGTTGGACAATGTATGTTGTTGGACTACTATTATAGAGCTTTTTGAGAGTTTGACAGCCATTATATACTTTCAAACGAGCATCCTGAACGTTCTGCTGAACCTTTCTTTGGTGTAACACAGGAGAAAGAAACTTGTGCAGGTTTGGAATAACAAAGGATGACAAAACTTTCATTTCTGAGTGAAATATACCTTTATTTTCGCATTGGTCATGTGGTTGTCATCTTTCAGAGTTTCTCGAATCTTATGTTGATTTTGCAGCATCTCTGTAAGGCAGTTATGAAGTTCATTTTATAGACTTTCTTCTCAAGAGAGATTCAGTGTCTGTTGAGAGTCAGAACGGCACACAGCCGCTTCATATTTGTGTTATTCTCCCTCCCTCTGCGTTTGGCTCTGGCGTAAAACGATCTGGAAGAGATGAAATTCTCCTCGGCCGCTCTTTCCAAGCGTCTCTGCCCAATCTTGTTTTTTTTTTTCCCTCCTTCCATTTTATAGACTTTCTTCTCAAGAGAGATTCAGTGTCTGTTGAGAGTCAGAACAGCGCACAGCCGCTTCATATTTGTGTTATTCTCCCTCCCTCTGCGTTTGGCTCTGGCGTAAAACGATCTGGAAGAGATGAAATTCTCCTCGGCCGCTCTTTCCAAGCGTCTCTGCCCAATCTTGTTTTTTTTTTCCCTCCTTCATTTCTCATTTCTCCTCATCGCCCCATTGCTGCTTCTCTGCACTGTGTTCTTTGGTTTCTAATCACCGTTTTTTGTGCTTGTTGATTTTTCCAGAGTGTGTTTGTACTCGGCGCATGTGAGCATGCGTTTCTGCTCTCTTTGATTTGAGTGTGCGTTTGTACACGTGTGAGTGTAAAAAAAAAACGCCTGCAGTGTCTTGAATTCACACGGCGTCCTAACCAGGCATGATGAAAACGTAATGCTGCAGTGATGTGACAATCACAGCAGATCAGAACTAATTAGTGGTGTTTGCTTAGGCACTATTACTGTTAGTCATACTTGGTGTTACTGATTCAAACAAACCCTTATCCTACATATTAAAGTTTTGTATGTAAATCACCACACATTGTTTGTGCTACAGATGAATGAATCTGTGAATAATTCATCGAATCATGCATCTTGTTTCTAAGTGATCAGACTTACAATTTTCACCTTGTAGATGATAATACAATTAAAAAAATTTGACAAACTATCTAGAGATGCGAGGGTGCACTCTTTTGACTTGAGTCAGTAAGAAACCACCTAGAAATGTGCCAAAAAATGTAATACCCTTAGTTAAAGCCTTAGTTATTTTAGTGTTATTTATATATTGTGTTATTATTTTGAATTAGATTCTATTTTTAGTTGTTGTTTTTTTTTATTTTTTTTAAGTTTTAGTAATTTTATTTGCTTTTGGCACTTTTTTTTTTATTTATATTTATTTAGCTTATTTTTATTTCAGTCTTAGTTTTATTAATACTTATTTTAAATACTAATAATTTAGTACTTGTTTTATTTCAGTTAGTTGCAAAGGCAACAATTTGGTAGTGCATTACAATAATGTTTCATTTGTTAATGTTACTTAACTACACTAGTAAATATGATCAGACAATGAACAATACTTACATTGAATATATATATATATATATACTGTATATATGACCACACCAATGCATCCAGTTGAAACCAAGCGACCAACTAAATGCACCAAAACTTAAATTAGCATCGTAGAGATCGTCACATGATAGGCCACTTCATCATTTCATACCTGGTTAGGACAAAAGGGTGGAATGAATCGTCTGGCTTCAAACATGCATTGAAAAAGCTGCTTGAATAGTGTTTTTTCTGTGTTATTAACGGTCACTGTTTTCTTCTCCCATTCTCGTAGCTTCGTAAAACTGGTCAGGTTCGAGGCACCAGTGCTGCTCACGAGCAATAAGGCTAAACTTCAAGAATCCAACCACGACGACACTTGACGAAAGACATCACCGCATCCAACCAAACCGGTGGTGGTGCCGTCCTCCTCCACCAGACCGCAGAATGACACAGTGATCAGTAGTACTGTACTCACACACCTGCCGACAGGGTGGACATTTTCACGGTCAACCTGTTTTTAGATTCAGCCAGGTTGATCAAGTGACTATTACCACGTTGTTAGAAATATCTGAGTATTGCTGTATGGTTGTGTTATTCTATTTCAGAAACAAAACGACTTAATTTTGGCAGGCATTGGACCAATTCTTTGTGTTTTTGTTTGGTTTTATCTGTTTGTAATGGTTCAGATCTTTATTTTCTTGTCTGTGTTTAGTCTTCCCCCCCCAGATGAAGCACTTCTTTTGGTTCTTTTAAATTCCTAATCACGTTTTTAATTAGTAGATTTTCATTTCATATCAGCGTAGTCCTGCCTACCATGTCTTGTTTTTCTAGGTTAAATGTGTGATGCTACAGCACGGCATGCACATTTGTGCAAAAACACAAGTCCACCTCGCAAAACCTTTTCCACGAGTGGCTTTTGCATGAGCTCAGGCATCTTAGCGGCTGTTTTTGAGAGGGTCTTCATGTTCTCAAGACACTTTGCGTGACGTAACCCCTCAGGACTCCTCTTCTTCTCACCAAAATCCAAGCTAATTACCGGAGCAAATCGCCGCCGCTGCTGCTTTTTCTTATTTTTAGAGTTGCTTTAGGACAGGCAAAGTGCTTTTATATCGCTAATCTACCTGTAATGCTCTCAGGGTTCCCACGGTCTTGGAAAATCCTGGAGATATCAGGGAAAAATTGTGATTTCCAGGACTGGAAAAGTCTCGGTTCGTTACAAGTATACCTACAGAAAATAATTTCCATAAGTAAATTATAATAAAATTTAAATAAATAGTGTCAGTCTTTTTAAAAAGCAAAAATCGCCATTTCAGTAATGCAGTTGCAATGCACGTAAACCGCGTTGACGTTTAAAAGCTGAAGTGTGATGATTCTTGTCATTTTTCTCTTGCTATTATTTGATCTATAAAGTCTAAATTGTCATTTCTGAGGTGTAACTACTTTTCCAGGTGGATGAATCTCTGTTTACTGACATGCAAGCTGTGACTCTTGTCTGGTATCCTTGCTCATATTATGCAAATGTTACTGCGGTTGTCATGACAACATATTTAAATTCGGTGTCACACAGGCACAGTCAGTAAGAGATTCTAGTGCACAAGTCTCATGGTTTTAGTGTGTACTTGGATCTTTTTTGACCAGCCCTGCAGACTTGCATTATTAAATGCATTAATGTAACAGCATTTTTTGCTTGGCAAAAACCTGAAATTCCTACAATCGACATGCTGTGCCCAAAAGATTTCTTTAATAAAATCCTAAGGTATAAATTAATATATTTATATAGTGTATTTTGCAGTCTCTGCAAAATGATTGATCAGAACGTGTGGGAACCCGGAGCTCTGCACCTGAATGTGTGCGTAGATGCCTCAACAGACGCTTAGGACAAAGAGGAGAATCGTATCAGGTCAGAGTCACAGGATGTGCAGGTGGAATAATTCTACTTCCGGTCTTCCTCGTCTCTGGCCGTCCTGCACCAGCTCAGATCATCCAGCCTAGCAAAAAGAGTCTCTGCTGTTTGCACTTGACCCGCAGTGCAGGGCTGTTTTATCTCCTCGTTTATTAGTAACAGGTTTTTAACGTGTACGGTTCTCTGTCCAGAGCGACAGACAGATTGGGATTTTTATCATATATTGTGGTCAGTGCATTAGTTTAAATAGTCGGGCTTTCATGGACAGCTGACGGCCAGAGTTTGTGCAATCACACGCAAACTAGTGCCTGATGTCTGCGTTGAAACTGCGATCCTATCACACTGTGATTGTCTAGTTAGAATTGCACATTTGTGATAGTTTTCAAGCCTGAACGTGGCATACAACACGTTTCTTCTTGGTTTGCATGTTTTGTTTCTTAAGTCCCTCTCATTTCAAGGTCCACGAATGTTCACGCAATCATGCAACCTGTCAGGTTCGGCCTCAGCGGCACCTTTATGGCAATCAAGAAGACCTGTGTTCCTCTTCTCATAGATCCGGATGGGAGGAAGTCAGGTTTTGATTTTTGATTTTTTCATATGTTCTCTAGATCATAATTGAGGAATCCGTGCACTGACGTCTGTTCAGACATATTGTCTCCAGTCTCACGGATCGTGTGGTTTACTTTTGTACACGTACATGGCTTTTAGGCTAGCGGGGACTGGGATGGGCAAGGGTTTCAGATATAATGAATGAATCATATTGTAATCGAAGCATAACTGCGCACTTGGAGAATCTACTGTTTTTTTTTTGTTTTGTTTTTTTTTATTGGGGAATTACACAATGCTGTTTTACTGTTTTTTCTGTTTGTTTGTTTGGAAATCAGGGGAAATATCAGTGAATGTACAATGGTGTGATTCTGTTTTTTTTCATGCAGCTTTTGAATTGGTTATAAATGTAACAATTAACAGTATATCTAATAAATTTCGACGCCAGTCATGCTTGGTCTTTTTTCATTGTAGGTTTGCATGCTTTAATGTCTTACCTTTAGATGCAAGTCACGGAAAACCTGGAAGCATCAGGTAATTTTTAAATTTAAGTGTTTATGTCAGGAAAATCATTGAAATCTATATGGTAAATCTATATTCTTATATTTGTAGGATTAAATATTCTAACGCAGTAATAATAAATCATTAGTCTAGAGGTGTTAGGACCTTAAATGCTTCATTTTATTTCTGTATCTGTAATTTGTGGCCACAGAAACATGTCTAATGTAAATTTCTCCTAGTTTTCACCTGTGTTTGTTCCTGACAGCAGCAGTAGATGGCACTGTTCCGCTTTGCTAAAGAAACGGGTAACGATTTCTTATAAAGGACCAGAGGGACCTACAAAATAAGTCTTATGGCTTTCCATTGATTATCCTTTTATTAGTTTAATTTCTTCAGTCATGGCTATCAATAAATGGCCACTTATATTTCTCCATAAAACCTTCCAGTAGCCTAATGGTCGTATCATTCCATAGTGGGTTTGCAAGACACAGTCTAGTTTGTAGTATAAGGGTTTTATTTCCACATTTTCCTAATCACTGTTCATTCAAAAGCTTTTATTGTAAAGATAAATAATTTGACCCATGCTTCAGGAGTGAGTTCTAAAAATGCATCACAATCACCGGTTACTTACAGGAAATTAACCCTGAAGACACATTCATTATCTCTGGCTGCCATTCGTCACAGCTTGAAAATGAAGCCTGTTTCATGCATCTACTAATTTACTAATTAACTGCTGCATATTTACTACAGTAGGCTATCTGTGTATAAAGGAATATAGCTGTTTCACATATGAAGGGTTTGGGAATGACTGAAGATTTACACTGATTTATGTTTGTTTCATATTTGATTTAAATGTAAATTATAAAACAAAATGTATAGCTGTGTGTAAATAAGAGATCTGGTCTCGATGGTATTTACTTATTCTACGTGTACCACATACTTTTGGTAGAATTAAATACCATCGAGCACTGATGCTTTTATGTAGACGTTTTGATAATATGCAAATTGTGGGGAGAAAATTATAAATGTGTAATAAATAAATCTACTGTTTTATATGTACAGAATTTTTATTTCATTTCATTTATTTAAATCTTTTAAATTATATTTTTCATTAGCTATGTGTTATTGATCGTATACCTTGTGGGGGGGGATGAACCAAATTGTAAAGTAATCTAGCTCTATTTGTAAAACAAGCGTATCATAGAAGATTGAGACATAGAAGTGTTTTTCTTGTTTTAGTATTTATCCATTGTATCATGTATTAATACGTTATAAATATCTCTTTTAGACTTCCTTAAGCGAATCCCCGCCCCTTGTGCGTCAGACCCCGCCCTGGTGCACGAGCCTCCGCCCCCTGCGCATGTGTGCCTGTGTCGGCATTGGTGAGAAATCAGCGCTGGAGCAGATGAGGGAATGTCAAACTTGTTGCCGATGCCCGCGGCTCGACACATCCGAGTCAAGGATAAATGAGAAAACCCTCCTGGAGCCAGAAGCATTTGATGGAACAGCGCGTATCTCATGGACAGTATTAAAGAAAATGGCGATTACATTTTGCGCTGAATACATTTCATACTGTGACAACAAAAGGGATCCTGGGCTCTCCAGTTCCTAACAGCGCGCGCACCCACCGCGGCGCATTGAGTCTCCTCACAGGACCGAACGCACGCGCGAAGTTCTCCTCAGAGGACCGTCGATTTATTGCATTTATCTACTCTTTTTGAATTCATGTAAGTGTTTTTGATATAGAATAATTATTAATCGGGATCGCGCGCATTGCATTGGATATGTGAACATGGGACATGTGCTCCGCGCGCTGGTTTGCACTCCTCTGGATTTGTGTTGAACGACTTGGGGACGTTACGCATCGAATAATGATGTAAACGAGGAGTTTTTTAAGATGTGCATTTTTCAGGGTCGTTGCTCTAAGGATATACAAAGAGGAGTTCGCGTTTTTACGCTTATGTTGGAATTGAGGTACTTCCAATTGTCATCTGATCTCTTACTTTCGCACCATTAAATATTTATCAATAAGCACATGCATGTGAAACGTAAACTTTATTCTTTTTTTAATTATTAATTATATTATTTAAAATATATAATAATTTGATTTTTAAATCGGCTGCTAACATGGGCCCTGGTGACAGAAAATAACACACACACAAAAAAAGGACTGTTTGATTTAATTGTGTCTTTTTTATTTGCAGTGACAAACTAACAAAAGGAATTTAATCCCAGTGGACTGAAAATGAACTCTAATTATAACAGTGCCGGATTTCATATGAAAGGGCCGTCGGTAGCTGTGGAGCCGATGATGGGTCCACTAAATGAATCCCCCATACAGGGACTCAACTTTGTCTCAAATAGAGACCAGTATGGATTCCAGACTCATGGCCATGGGGAAATGCTCACTATGGGAGTTCAGCCACAGCATCAACTCCACATGCAAGCACCGTTCAACCATCAACCTCCTAACCACGACCAGCATTCACATCTGTACCAGGACAGCGTCCCCTCTTGCTTGCACGGGGACAGACACATGGGTTTCAATAACAGCAACGCAGGTCACCCGCATATGTTCGAAGGAGGATTCAGTCAGCAGCTTGCAGAGGTGCAGTCGCAAGAATGCATTTCACAGCAGCAGCAGCAACAGAGAATGGCCACAATGCCTGAGTTTCAACCGCACGGCCATCCTAACGGTAACCACGCCGTTCCAGCGCCGTGTCTTCCACTAGACCAGTCACCAAACCGCGCCGCTTCGTTCCACGGCCTGCCGTCCTCGTCCCCTGAAACCCACAGACTTGAACATTACAGGCTTTTCCCACAGGGTAGGATGGGGGGATCAGAGCACTGTTTTCCCTGTGATCCTCTGACGGGGAATTTTGATATGACAGGATTCTCCACCGCGGACTCTTCAGAGCACAAACTGCCCTATTGTGAAACGGGGAACCAAGTGGTCGGGGGTCATTTTGCCACTTGTAATCGAAGTGGTTCCCGAGGGCCCATGATGGGTGGCTCTAAAGTTGACCAGCAGCTACCTCAGCAAAACGTGTTTTCGGACCGATTCGGGAACCGGGGGAAAATGGATCCGGGGGTTAACGCTAGACACCACCTCATGCCGCAGCAAAGACCGGGACCTGTTGCCAGGCAGAACCCCGGTTCCCCTGCCCTTCCGCGGTTTTATCACACTCCAGACTATGTAGCAAACAATACAGATGTTCAAGGTGGTGGTCCGATGGTCCACGTTCAACACGGCCACCTGGACCGGCCCATACATAGACTGAACAACCATAACATGCATCCCTTTGGGGAGCCAGTGTTTGATGTCCCCCAGCTAGCCCCTCAGCCCCCACATCACCCTCAGCTCAGCTCACTGCCTTATTTGAATATGGCAAAAAGGCCACGGTTTGATCTCCCAAACGGCTCTGCTGGAGAGAGCTGCAGCCCCCTAAGCAACGGCTTACATAATCGGCCCAATCTTGAGAACCACCTCTCCCCCTCGGCTTTCCCCTCTCCTATAGGGGACTTTACATCTCATGTGACGGATGGGTTTCCATCAGGCCCTCTACCCTTGAGCTCCGGTCCACAGCAACAACAACAGCAGCGGCAGCAGAACGCAGCGATGATGATCAAACAAATGGCATCGAGGAGCCAGCAGCAGAGTATGAGACAACCCGACCTGCAACAGTTAAGTCTCCACGGGGACGTCACATCAAATGGCATGGTCTGCAGAGGCCCTCTGGGTAGTGTGTCTCAGTCCAATTTCGAGAAGAAGCATAATTTTCATGGAAACTTTGACAGCCCCCACCTACCTCAAGAAAACTCATGGTTTCCTGAGCCGCAGCAGCATTGTAGAGAAACAAACACGCATGCCTTGGAGCAGGCAGAGAATGGACACAACATTATTTTTAGGCAAGGCGTCACAAGCATGGACATGCAGTCTTTGAATTCTCCGGGAGCGCATCATCCATTCGAAAATAATGTCAGCAATCCTTTGCAGATGCAGTCTCCCGACGAGAGCAACATGCAGTCAGGCGCACCCACGGACAGGAGGCCGGCTGAATTCGGAGGAATGGTGATGAGGAGGCAGCACAGCTTCCCTCCTGGAGGGCCGAGTCAACAGGGAGCCCCCCAGAGCAATCCTCCAGGATTTAGCTCCTCTCCAGGGAACTATCCCGCCCATCCCGAGTACCTCTCCAGCCAGCACCTGTCAGTCAATAAGCTTGGGGCCCTCTCTTTGGGGAATTTGAACAAAGCCAGTACAAAAGACAGTGTGTTTGGCCAAAGCTGTCTGGCAGCTCTCTCCACGGCCTGCCAGAATATGATCGCCAGCCTTGGGGCCCCGAACCTCAATGTGACTTTTAATAAGAAAAGTCAAAATGAGGCCAAACGCAAAGCAGGTCAGGTTGAGCAGGACATAAATAGCAGTGGCAGTAGCGGCCCAGGGGCAGAGTATTTCCAGAGCAATGCTTCTCAGAATAGTCAAACGCCTTGCTCTGGGAATAACAACAATATGACGGCAGGTCAAAGTGGTACGGGCCAGGTGGCGAAAAGGGAAGTGAGCACCCTTTCCCCAAATGACAACATGGAGTCTGGATGCGAGGGGAAAATGGCAACAGGCAACGGCAAGGGGAGGGGGAAGAAGAGACGCGACAGCGGGCACATCAGTCCCGGAAACTTCTCCCCTCCTTGCGGCGGTAACCCCGTCGTCAGTCCGAGTCAGCAGGGTTCCGCTTTGAACGTGGGCATGGAGAGCCGTGGCAAGACCCCGGAGAGGTCCCTGGTCTCCCCTTCCTTCGGAAAGCCTGACCTCACCACCTCGATGGACAGCGGAATTCAAAGCGTGGGCAAGTCGGATGGCGTTTCGCCGTGCATGGATTATTTAGACGAAGCCAGCCCCAACTACAGCGCAGAGGACCTGAGGCCTTGCAGAGCTGGCATGAAGTGTAATTCTGAAAACAGGGCCGGCTACAGTGACAATCCGTGCATGGAACAGGTGCGGACACCATTGAGCAACACGGGCC